TGTAGATGCAGTTCTATTGAGGACTACACATTGAGTGTGGTTGGTCTGCCAGTTATGAATCCATCTGGTGATAATGCTGTCTAACCCACATTCTTCTACTTTATCTAATAGTAGGTTATGGTCTACCTTATCAAATGCCTTACTGAAGTCCAAGTAAACTATATTGACAGCATTCCTCTGGTCACTATTTTTGTCACTTTGTGAAAGAATGCAAGAAATATAACAATACCATCCTTCCAAAACAAAAACATAATTTCACCAAGGCTCAAAGAAAAGAGCTAAGGATTTGACATTTCTCTGTATATCGTCAACTCATTTCTCTATCACTCATGTGACACATATTTTATGGAAGATCAAATAATGCACAATTATAGAAATGAGATCCCAATGTGAAAGAAATTAGGAGTTTCAATATTATTTTAATCAACTCTGTAATTATTTAATTCTTCTAGTTTGTCTGTTAAATGCTGAACTCCTTGTCTTAAGTCTTCCTTTCAGTTGGTAAGGCAATCCTTCCTTCTGGGAAGGCAAAAAACAAAAGAATACAACTCAGCTTCCTGTAGAGCCATAATATAATTTGGTTGATGATATCTCTTACCCTTCTGGCTTGATATTTTCTCTTTGGGATATGGATGACAATCATAGCAGCCAAGTGGCTTTGACTCCTGCTTTCTTTTGAAATTACCAGGCAGTCAGCTCTCAGTACACACTGAAACAGGCAAGGTCTACTCAATAAGTAAAATAAGAAGGGAAACATTAGTGTTCACTCTGGTACTTAAAAAATCATGTTTGTTTAATTTTTATTTATTTATTAAATTTATATTCCACCTATCTCCTCAATAAAATGACTCCAAGTGGCTTACAAAGAATGAAAGATAACTATAAAACTAATTATTTTTAAACTATATAAAAACTGGAATCAAGGAAGTGGATAGTATGAGGATAAGATTTTCTGTCCACCCTCAAGAGCCTCTTTTGAGCCATAGGCAAACCAGCAGAACCATGTTTTGATCCAGGAGACTGAAAGAGTGGGAATAGTTCTCATCTTTAGGGGTAGAGTGCTCTACATGGCCATGGGCCCAGAGAAAAAGGCTTTTTTCCTTAATTTTGCTGCCAAAATTCCTTAGGAGATGGTCTCCAGAGCAGGCTCCACAGCATTATGTTGGAGCACATGGAGTGGGCTAGTTCCACCGTGTTGAAACGGCTTCATAGATACCTATAACCCATACCATATAGGGTTTTAAAGTTAATAATCAATATCTTGAATTGAACCAAGAAACAAACTGGTAACCAATGCAGATCATACAACATTGGTGTTATTTGTGCCACCCAGAACTTTACAAGCCACTTCACTGTACTGTAATTCCAACGATTCAGCACACTGCTATCATGCAACAGAGAGATCAGAGTGGTACAACTTGGTGTGGCCAATTTGTTGCAGCCAATTTGCCATAGCCATCTCCACATAGGCAACTTGCCATAGCCAACTCACCATGGGCCATCTCACTGCTGAACAATTCAACAATTCAATTTAGGCATTTAAAATAATTAAAAGCATATATTTTAATTGTTGTCATTTGCATTTCTTTTTGTCCCTCCTTTTGCATTTTTTTCTTTAATTATTCTATTCTACCATTTCTTTGATATTAGTGTAACTGTTATCCTGCAGTGAGCTGTACCATAGCAAGTTGGCTGTGGCACGTTGTCTCGCAGTGAGTTGGCCACAGTGAGCTGGCCATGGCAAGTTGGCCACATTGGGTTGACTGCATCAGGTTGTCCTAGACTCTAGAGCATGATTGTTAAACGTGATTGTGTCATGTGATGTATTGTGAGATATTATGACATTTTTTGCCTTTGAGGTGCTGAGGTGGTTGTGGCCGGTATATAACGCATCTGACCTGCAGGCTGCAGGTTTGATACCTGGTCTAGAGAGAAGGCCAGCACATGATAAACTATGCACAATAAAGGTAAGAATAAAAAATAAAAATAACTATCATAACATTACTACAGGCTTGGTAGTAATTTTATAAAGCAAGGATGCTTAAAATTGGAATTAATTTAAGCAGTATGGAGCAGAGGTGGGATTCACTTATTTTCAATTTGAGTGCACTTGTATGTGTGCTCACTTCTTTTGCATGTGCCTCATCTGTGCATGTGCACTGACTTCTCTGCCTGTGCAGTGCTCGTGCATTACATCAGGGTGGGTAGGCAGAGCCCCCTATAGCCAAACTGGAGAGAACCAGCTGAATACCACCTCTAGTATAGAGACATATAAACACAACACACATACGAAGACAAACACAAACATGTTCTAAATTGGTCCAGATCCACCAAACTCTGAACAGTAAATACCATTATAAACAAACATTTAGAAGGCGTATTTTAGTCAAACTTATTCTCCATCCATCTCTCAATGGATAGCACAATCCAAGAAAAAGTTCCTGCCTCATTGCCTTATAAAGTTGATTGCTGGTGGGGAGGTAATTTCGTCCTTTTATTCCCTTTTTGACTTGTTGATTGTCTCTTTTGCACAGTAAGATCTGTCAACTAACAATGACTCTGAAGAGGTTCACAGAGGTAACTAAAGGGCTAAAAAAAGGGGTCAGAACCATAAAAGAAAAAGTTTGGGAAACACTGCATTAGAATATGTATGTGTGAATTCTTTTCCTATAGCTCCAATAATTTTACTTCAAGTTTACCACAATGTATGGACTGAATATTTTTTTTGATATATTAGATAACACTGTTTTTCAGATATACCGTATTTTTCAGAGTATAAGACACACCGGAGTATAAAATGCACCAAGGTTTTGAAGAGGCAAATAATTAAAAAAAATTGCACTCTGCAAACCTCCCCAAAATGGGCCCATTTCCCCCTCCAAAAAAGCCATTAATAGTCTTTAGAAGGCTTGCAGCATGCTCCTAGGGGGGAGACAGAAATGAGCAAAAAAAATTGTTTTTTATTTTAAAAGGGTATGGATAGCCTTTAGGAAGCTTATAGAGTGCTGCTGGTGGGGGGCGGGAACAGAGCAAAAAATGGGTCGTTTTTCTCATTTCTGCCCTCCCCAGCCCCCAGGAGCTCTATGAAAGTTTCCTAGAGGCTATGTATGACCATTTTGGTGAAGGGGTTGGGATTGCGGGAGGCAAAAAATGCTGTATTCAGTGTATAAGATGCACCCAGATTTTCAGCCTCTTTTTTGTGGGAAAAAAGTGCATCTTATACTCTGAAAAATACGGTATATAATTCTTATACTGTTTACAATTCTCAGTTGTGGGAGATTTGTATCAACTGAAAGAATAAGACATTTATTTGTCTTCTATATTCAATGATGTAGAGGTGTCATTTAGACACAGGTAGTCCTCACTTACTGACCTCTTGTTCAATGATTGTTCAAAGTTACAATGGTACTGACATTACTTTTGACTAGTCTTCAACGTTGCAGCTATCACAATGTTCCTGCAGTCACATGGACACCAATTGTGACTTCATAGCTACATAGCTTTTTGACAAGGAAAATCAATAAGGAATCTGACAGAAAGTTTTATGTTGCAGTCATGTCACAAACAATTTAATGACCATGGGTGATTTTCTAACAATTGCATCTGGAACCAATGCTGTAACTTACTGCAATCATGTTATGTTTCACTTTATGATTGTGTATCCTTGCAAGAAAGTTGCTGGTTCCAAATGAAATCATCTACATTCAGAACCTACTTGGTTGAAAGTGCTGGGCCAAGTGATGCTTCCTCATAAATGGTGAACATTTGTCTTCAGCAGCCCAGGGATCCAGCTTCCCAACTTTCATCCAATGAAAGGACAGGTTGGGGAAAGTGACCCATTTTTCAAGATCCAGACCTGTAACCAGTTCTCCTTTCTCATCAAAAGAAATTTCATCTCCAACGCTGTTGTTAAATTCAATTCTTTTCAAAAAGAAGTGTAGCTGAATAGAGAAATAATTGAATATATTTATAAAAAGAACAGAGTAAAAGAGAACATTACATAACAGCACAGAATAGTTTACACATGAAGGGGATCCTTCTTAATATGCAATATTTTAATGCTCCCCCAGGTACATTTGCTTATATGACACCACTGATCAAAAATAATTATACTATAGTTATTGTGATAATTTAATAATAATAGAAATCTAGCCTCACCTTACTTAAAAGACCTCATATATATAGGATATTTTAATTGTGAAAAATATACCAATCTTTTTTTGGTGGGGAGTTTTATTTTATTCAAAAATATAATATAGTTTGCACTTTTTTTTAGCAAGGAACAAAAATAAATATTTTGCTCAACTATTATATATGCAGATGAGGGAAGAATCAGATACAAAACTATAGTTATAGAAATAATACAATATAATAGATACAATTATTGCAGCTATAACTGTAGTTCAGCATCTGTCATGTCCAGATGTCATAAAAAATCCAGCCAGTCACTTTTTCTCAATAGACTATAGGAAAGGTCTGTTGCTACTATTTAGTCATCACCCAGAAGTTTGAAAATATGACAATCCAGAAAAGAAAAACATTGAGTTCTCTGTAACATTTTGAGTTGTGTTTAGACTAAAGCCATGTTTGTGAGACATTTGAGATGGTATAGGGCCTCCTGCTTGAGCAGAGGGTTGGAGTAGAAGATATTTAAGGTCCCTTCCAGTTCTATTCTGATTGATTGAGATTAGTGCCATTAGTGGTGGGTTTCTACCGGTTCGGACTGGTTCAGCCAAACAGGTAGAGGTTTGGCAGCCTGGGTTGCTGGAACTGGCCCCCAAATTGGTTTTACATCCATGCCCCCAAACTGGTTTTCCAGGCACCGATGCCATCTTGTTTTTAGCTTCTGCACATTCACAGAGCAATTTTTATTGTATTGTGCATCCGCGTGCGGCCCACATCACACATGCACATGTTGTGTGTTCATGAGTGAACCGGCAGTAGTGCCTGCTGGAACCCACCCCTGATTAGTACCAGCAATTGTTGATACCATTTCTTTTGGTGGAGGATGTGCAATGCAGCAGTACTATTGGATATTTAAGAAAGTGGTAGAGAGTTGTTGTTGTTATTATTGTTTTGGTATAAAGAAAGGCCTTTTTGAACCATGGCTTGGACATATGCTGTTGTTGTTTTAAAGTGTACTGTTAGTATGGGTCACATGCTGTTGAAGCTGTTGCATAGCGATATTATAATTTTTTTAGAGTGCATCAGGAGAGTCAGCTGATATCAGAGCAGTCTGAAGATACTATAGGACAGGGTGTCAAACTGGTGGCCCATTGGCCAAATGTGTCATGTGTAGGCCACACCCACCCAGCTCTGCAAAGTGAAAAAACATCATGATATGTCACATGATGGCAATGTGACATCACAAGTTTGACATGTGTGATATAAGAAATATGAGATAACGTCCTCATTTGATTTAGATGGCAGTCCACTTGGTTTGGCAGCAAATTCTTCCTCAATATTTGTCTCTTAAATGAAGCATTTTAATTGGAGCAGGACTGGAAAATGATTATTGTTATATTTCTAGAACTTTGGAAAAAAATAGAAATTCCCTAGAATTTATTATATAATTAGTAACATACATTCTGAAACCAGGTAGGTAGCTGAATTCAACTGGAAAGTCAACTTCAAGGGCATCATTTAAAATGTGGAGGTTTAGTTTAAAGGCTGTTTCAGCCAGGCACAAACTTTGAGTTTGATCAATGGGTGAAAAGATATCCTTCAGGTTCAGTGCTGGAAAGGAGATACTTGTACTATGTATAGAAAGGCATGGTCATTGACTAAAATTCACCATTAATGTTCCTTCCCAGGACAAACAAATCAACAGCAATAATGAATGCAGCATAAGTTTCCAGATCATCTGACAAGATTCTGAACTGGGGTTTTTGCCTCAATGGCAATGCAGAAGTATTTATTACCAACAGAGTATGGTGGCTGGGTTGAATTAGCACAATAAAACTTAATGAGAGAAGTGGTATTCACCTAGCTTATAGCATAGTGGATACTAGGATCTCCCTTTTGCACTTCAGTACTTTAGTTCTGGTTATCCCCCAACTAAAAATGAAAAATATAATCAACTAGATAGCAGTTTTTAACAATTTCTCAGCTGTCCAGGTTTCTTCCGGTTTGTGAGTTGAGCCATTTTTCGCCTTCCTGAGGCTTCAGGGAAGCCTCCTGAAGCCTCCGGAGGGCAAAATGCAGTCCAACATGCAAACCAGAAGTCAGAAAATGGGCCATTTCCAGGGAGACTCCAGAGAGACTCCAGGGATGGGGGAGGCCATTTTCACCCTCCCCAGGCTCTTAGAAAGGCTCTGGAGGCTGGAGAGTGCGAAAAACAGGTCCACCATGCTATTGCGTGGCAAAAGCAGGGGGAGCGCAGGTGGGTCATGTGCATGTGTGGAGGGCAGGCACATAGAATTATGGATGTGGGCATGTGTATGCATGAACCCCTGCTCTCCCCCTGCTTTTGGCATACGGTGGCAAAAAGGTTAGCCATCAGTGATGTAGGCAACCTTTGAAGAAACTGAGATTGTATATAGGTACTTTCCCCATAGCAAGACTTATTAAACCAGGAACTGTTGAGCTAAAACTGCCAAAGAATCTTAGGAATATACATTTTGTCTTCCACTGTAGTCTACTTAACCAGCCAAAATATTAAGGTTTAAGGTTTTATTTGACTTGTATGCCGCCCTATTCCCGAAAGACTCAGGGCTGCATGCAAATATCTCCATTATTACCACCTACAGAAGTTCCTCCTCCCGATATCATTAAAGGTAAGCATTATTTTAAAGTAAAGGAAATCCTAGTATCATTTTTCTTCCTCCAGAGGCTTTAGGAGGCTTCCTGGAAGCCTCTGGAAGATGAAAAACAGCTGAAAATGAAGGGGTGTGCTGACAGGGAAATGCCTCACGTGCCCTAAGACATGGGTCTGCATGCTACCTGTGGCACATGTGTCATAGATTCACCATCAGGGGCCTAGATTGTAGTTACTTGGTGGAAAGGTACTCATCCTCCCTGATTTTCTTTTTGTCTGCAAATTTTTGTATGTGTCGCTAGGGCTTTACATACTACAGACCATGTAGTTTGCACTAGTGTTATCCACTCAGCCAGAGACACATATTGGGGTGACTGTTGCAGAACTTGCAGTTCATTTCAGCATAGCAATAAAGTCCTGGCCAGTGGCAATGTGAAACAGCATGAAGCCAGTGTTGCTGTGTATTGAATTGTTATATGCTATCTCCATGAAGGGGAGGAGATCTAATCAATTTTCCTGCTGATAATATATGTAGCATCTAAGGTATTGTTCTAAGATGCCATTGCTATGTTCATAGGAACCATTAGTTTGGAGATAGTGTAAAGAACTGAGACTTTTGGTGGTCCCTAAAAGCTCTGAGAACTCCTGCCAGAACTGCAGAGTCCCAATAAAGTATTATCAGCATGCCACAAAATACACCTGTTTGGAAAATAAGTCAGTGGTGACTCATATTATAGTATTTCCAGAGCTTTCAGGAAGTTCAACAATAAAGTGGAATCTCTTTCCAAAGAGCTTTTGGAAAGAGCAACTCCAAAAGTCCCGGATGTCATTTAGCCAAATCACACACCAGGAAACTCTATGACACATGTGCCACAGGTAGCATGCAGATTTCCTTTTTATATCTTTCTTTATGTTTAGCCACCAGAATTGGAATCTAATGAGATACAAGAGATTTATAAGCCAAAATGCCTTGTTATTTTTGAGCTATGGCTCCATAGCAAAAGTAGATGTCTTTGGTACATAGTTTTGCTTTTGACTCAAGTGAGGCCATTGTATCAGTAGAAATCCTCTTAGTGGCCTTGGTAAAGGTTGTTCTTAATGCCTGAGTTAGATCATGGGCCAGGTTGGACTTCTTTTATTTTCTGCTCTGTTTGTGGCTGGTGCTACTATCTGGTGGAGGAGGGATGGTGGAGTTCACTATATCCTCTTTGTTATTGTTGTATTGGGGTACCCTGGAGAGGAAATTCTTCATTCCAGGTGAGTAAGACAGTGTAAAAGTAAACTGGTTAAAGTACTTTACTCATCTCATCTGTTTGGGTGAAAGTTTCTGAGGGGCTTTTAGCGCTTCCAGGTTCTTGTGGCCAGTCCATACTCAAAAGGAATATTACCCTCTTCTAGGAAATGTCTCCATGTCAATAATGCCCATCTCACTCTGTAACCCTCTTTTTCCCAGACCATCTATCTGCACTCAGATTCATACACCTTTTTGGATGTATAAGTGCAGGGTAGCAGTTAGCTCTGTTGGTCTTTTTGGAGGATGCTGCTGCTTACTGCTACATCAGCTTGGATGATAAAGGGATAATCAGGGTCAAGGTGCTTGAGAATAAGTTCAGCAATGAACAGTCTCTTGAGCAATTTGAAAGCCATTTGGTCCATGGCATTTCATGGACTATTTGAATTGACTATTTTCCCAGTTTGGGTCTTCTCTCCCCTTAAATTTTTAGTAGGTTTGTTAGTGGCATGGCATTTGGGCATAGCTAGGGGTGAACTGTCTATAAAAGTTTGCAAGGCCTAGAAAACTTTGCAGTTGTTTCTGGGTGCGGGGTGCTTCCCAGTTAAGTACCACTCAAAATTTCTCTGGGCCTTTTCCACAAGTTTGTGGAGATCCAGTAATCCAGGTAATCCAAATTAGTCTGGTAAAACTTGCATTTGGAGAGTTTTACATATAGATGGACAGTTAAAAGCTTTTCTCTGACATTTTCACTAGTTTCACATGTTTGTCCAGTATAAATTAGAATGTCATCCAGGTATTCTAGCACTCCCTTGAAGAGGTCCTCAATCAGCACCTCATTAATTAGCTACGTAAACATTGTAGGTGCCCCTTGAAGGCCAAAGGAAGGACTCAGAACTGAAAACAACCGAGCAGACTCTTTGACTCGATAATATGATTTTATTAGGTCCAGTTTAGTAAAAAAAATGTCTTTGTCTTGGTCCACTAACATGTTTTTCATCAAAGGTAGGGGATACACATTTTCTACAAAAATATATAGAAAATGTTCCACACAGTCTTGGAGAAGCATCTTTCTTTTCCTGGAATAAAGCTGGGTCCTCCATATGTGATTTTATTGGTTGGATGAAGCCCCTAAGTCTTTTGTCAATGAATTATCTGAGTGCATCTAATTCCCTTGGTGTTATTGAATACAATTTTGGTTTGGGTATGTTGGCTCCAGGAAAAATTTCTATGGCACAATATTTGTAGAAATAGGTGTGTGTGTGTGTGTGTGTGTGTGTGTGTGTGTGTGTGTGTGT